CTGGGTAAAAAGCATTGCTTCCGTGTGTTTTATCTGAGTGAAAAGGACAGAGACAGACAATAGTTGTCAAGCAGGCCCAAGCATTTGATGTTGAACAAGAATTCGTCACATGGTTCCCAGAGCAAACGGGGTATGTATGCACTTGTGTGCCTTTTCTGAGGTGAGGAGATACTTCATCCCAAAAAGGTTAAGAAGCACTGATACAGCGATGTGAGTGTACAGGGGAAAGGGACGTGGTTTGGGAGCCAGCCTCAGGTACAGGCCCAGTTACCCTATTGTTAGCTGTGACCTCGGCCAAGTTCATTGATTTTTTTTTTCTTGAGACAGAGTCTTGTTCTGTCACCCAGGGTAGAGTGCAGTGTTGCAATCTCGGCTCACTGCAACATCTACTTCCCGAGTTCAAGAGATAATCCTGCCTCAGCCTCCTAGTAGCTGGGATTACAGGCGTGTGCCACCATATATGGCTAATTTTTATATTTTTAGTAGAGATGGGGTTTCATCATGTTGGCCAAGCTGGGTTTGAATTAACTCCTGACCTCAAGTGATTCTCTCGCCCCAGCCTTCCAAAGTGCTGGGATTATAGGCATGAGCCACTGCGCCCAGCCAAGTTCATTGATTTTTATAGACAACATTTTCCTCTTCACAACAAACGTCTATTGAATGTCCATTATAAGATGTGAAGAATAAAATGATGAATAGGGTAAGATGCTGAGCCTCAAGGAGCTGGGAATCTAGTGGCAGACACAGATGTAGATATGCCTCTAATACAGTAGTCTTATATGTTACACTATGTGCATCCGTAATACAAAAGCAATACAGAAGTTTTATAAAGGTAATAACAACTAATATTAATCGAATACTTTTGCAGCTTTTAAATTCTTTATATATCATCTCAGCAAAGCTTTTCTATAACTCTGTGAAGTAGATACTGTAATTCCATCTTATAGATGAGGAAGCTGAGGTAGAGAGAGATTACGTCATTTATCCGAGGCTTGACAGCTCCTAAATGACCAAGTTGGTATTAACACCCAGTCTGGCCCTTACCCAGCAGGCTTCACTGCCTTCATAAGCAATTGTGGCCATGGAAGGAGTGTGGTGGGTTCCTCCGAGTGAGAAGAGGGCATGCATCGGAAGACTCATCCCTAATTTGAGGTCCTTTTTAACAGAAATTGTGAAAAATATGCATAACATAAAATTTGCCGTTTTAGCCATTTTTAGGTATATAGTGCAGTAATGTTAAGTACAGTCACATTGTCATGTAAGCATCGCCATCAGTCATCTTCAGAACCGTTTCATTTTCTCAAAGAGACGCTGCACCCATTAAACCAGGCGTCCCCAAACTACGGCCTGCGGGCCGCATGCGGCCCCCTGAGGCCATTTATCCGGCCCCCCGCCGCACTTCAGGAAGGGGCACCTCTTTGATTGGTGGTCGGTGAGAGGAGCACAGTATGTGGCGGCCCTCCAACGGTCTGAGGGACAGTGAACTGGCCCCTGTGTAAAAAGTTTGGGGACGCCTGCATTAAACAGTAGCTTTCCCTTCCCCCTCCTTCCATCCTCTGGCACCCACCATTCTGCTTCCTGTCTCTATGAATATGACTACTCTAGGTACCTCATGTAAGTGGAATCATACAGTGTTTGTCCTTTGAGTCTGGCTTGTTTCACTTAGCATAGTGTCTTCAAAGTTGGTCCCTTCTGTTAAAAAAAAAAAAAAAAGTCTGTAACTTCAAATTATATCATATGGCCAAAATACAAGAAATTCTGCCTTGTTTTTAACAGCCCGAGGTCAGATGATTTTCTTATTCTGAAATTGTATTTGGGAAGTTATAATCTACAGCCCAGGAGAGAGGTGCCTGAATCACACAGTGAGCCTTTTTATTTGTATAGGATGGAAAGATAAAGAGAATTAAATATATTGGGGTCTGCGTGCAGGAAAGAAAGGATAAGCTGCTAGAACAGATCAGTGGTATGGGAGGCTTTCTTTCCTCAAGAGGGAGGTTTAAGAGTTAATGACTTAGGCAGGTGTGGTGGTGCATGCCTGCAGTTGGAGCTGTAGGCTGAGGCAGGAGGATCACTTGAACCTCAGAGTTCAAGACCAGCCCTGGACCACATCGTGAGATCCCGTCTCTATTTAAAAAACAAAAAAGAGAGAGAGTTAATGATTTAAATATTTCCTTCGAGTTTGTTTCCCAGCCTCCAAAACCAGATCAGACACAAAAATCAGCTGGATATGGTGGCGCGCGCCTGTAATCCCAGCTACTCGGGAGGCTGAGGCAGGAGAATTGCTTGAACCCAGGAGGCGGAGGTTGTGGTGAGCTGAGATCATGCCATTTGCACTCCAGCCTGGGCAACAGAGTGAAGCTCCATCTCAGAAACAATAAAAATAAACACAAAATAGGTCAGAATATGTCTCAGGTCTTTTAACCTTTACAGATTTCCCAAGGATTTTATGAAACTTCTTGTTTAGATTTGCTTTTATGTAAACATCCATGACTAACCAACCTATATCAGGGTCTATTGTGTGAAAAAAGGGAAAATTTTGGGTGAAGCCCCTGCCTCCCTTTGCATTAAGAGTGCCTTGTTCTTCGCGGAGTGCTGTTGCGTACACTGTGAGGTTGGGTCCTGAGCCTCCTTAGCCGGGTAGGTGGTGGTGGAGTGGTTCCTCGCTTTGAAATGAGGAACTAAATCAAAGAGCAGCCAAGTCACTTGCCTACGTGGCATCTCCCCGAGGGCTTTAGAATCTCCTTGCTTTACATCATTCTCAGCAAACTGACGCAAGAGCAGAAAATCAAACACCGCATGTTCTCACTCATAGGCGGGTGCTGAACAGTGAGAACACATGGACACAGGGAGGGGAGCGTCACACACTGGGGTCCGTTGGGGGGAAATAGGGGAGGGGCAGTGCGGGGTGGGGAGTTGGGGAGAGATGGCATGGGGAGAAATGACAGATATAGGTGAGGGGGAGGAAGGCAGCAAATCACACTGTCACGTGTGTCCCTATGCGACAATCTTGCATGTTCTTCACATGTACCCCCAAACCTGAAATGCAGTTAAAAAAAAATTAAAAAAAAAATCTCCTTGTTTAATTTAGTTTGCAGATACATTTTTTATTTTTGCTTTTTCCTTTTCTCAGAGCTTGACAAAAGATTTAGGAGGCAATGCGAAATGCTCAGACTTCACAGAGGAAATCTGTCGCCGAGTAAAAGATTTAGATTAATGCTTCTACAACTGGTATTTGCATCAGTCACTCCAAATGGACACCACGTAAACCTCTGTTTAGAATACCTACGTATGTATGCATTGGTTTGCTTGTTTCTTGACAGTACATTTTTAGATCTGGCCTTTTCTTAACAAAATATGTGCAAAAGATGCCGGTGGATGTCCCTAGGTCTGTTTTCAAAGAACTTTTTCCAAGTGCTTGTTTTATTTATTAAGTGTCTACCTGGTAAACTTTTTGGTTTTTTTTGTAAACTCTTAAGTGAACAGTATAATTTGCTATTCTAAACCCTTTTACACTTAAGTTAAAATAGTTTCTCTTCAGCTGTAAATATCAAGATACAGAATTAAGAGAATATGTCTAACTTTTTAAGAAAAACCGTATTTTCTTTGGTTTTTGAAAAACGTAATGGAAATAAAACAAGATATTGACATAATAGCACAAAATGACACTCTTATAAAACTAAATGGGCACAAGAGAAATTTCCTGGGAAAGTTCACATCAAAAAGAGTGAATGTGGTTATTTCTAAATGATATGGAAAATAGAGACAGATTTGCCCTTTACAGAAATTACCGAGTGTGAATAAAAACTTCAGATCCAAGAAATATATAACGAGAGATATAATTTTGGTTAAGACAAAGGTAATATATTGGATACAAAGATACAGATGTATTGTGTGTTCAGTTATTTTGTCTTGAGATTTAATATTTTTTGCAAGAGCTTCTGATGAAGCAGAGAGCTGGTACTTCCTTTTATTGGATACATTTTCAGCATTATGAGTTGTCGCAGCCTCTGAGCCCCTGATCTCGAGCCAGAAGGGCTGACTGTCATGCGTCTCTGTCTGGGAATGGACCACAGTGCAGCTGGTAGCACTGGGGCAATACTGCCAAAAGGCTTGATCCCATGTATTTTGACTGCAGTTGAGGAACTTGGGATGCTGTTTTGCATTTCAGAAAGTACCCCTTCTCATCTCCCAGAGCACCAGTTACTGCCCTCTGCCTTAGCAGTACCAGTATAAGAAGACAGTGCAGAGACTGCAGGCGACTCAGCCTGAGTTGATTGACAAAATTGTGCCATGCTAGGGCTTGGGCTTGAGCTGGGGCCCAGCTTTTGACCCTCAGGCATCTCCTGTCCCTTCCTACCCTCCTCTCCCTTCCCCTCCGCCGCTGCGTGATTTTCTTAATCCTCAGACACTCACTGTTTTCATGAACAGTTACCCTGTGGCCCCACAACCAAAGACGACTCATGCCCTCCCTGCCCCTTGTGTAACATTGCAAACCTGTGGCTTTGCAGAATGTACCCAGGTCACAAGGGTTTTTTTTTTTTTTTTTTTTTTTAAAGCAACGATATCCCTGTCTGGGTCATTTTTTAAGCTTGTAACCCGACTTATAATCTTAAATGTGTTTTCCTTTGTTTAAGCTGCTGCTTCCTTGGTTTCACTGGATTGTGCTAGTTATCAGTGGCTGTTGGGTTCAAAGTAATAAAAATTCCAAAACCGATTGGGATGTTTGCTTTCTCCACCTGTTTCCCGTTCAGATGCCTTCGGTCATGTTGGCTCAGCTTGCTACTGAGAATGGCTGCTTCCCGTATTCAGAGTGGAAGCGGGGTGGCCTGGTGGTGACAGGCTACTGTAGAGTTGGCTGCTTTTACGAGAATGCCCCACTTAATCCCAACCTGCACCTTTGTGGTCACTCATGTCTGCTGTCCACAGCCCTGTGAGTTTAATACCCACGACACTCTGCACTGGCCCCACCTGCTCAGTTAACAAAGAAATCGGGTCCTTGGTGACAGTTCTGTTAAAAGGTTTAATATTCAAATTACACATTAAATAGGGTCAAACAGGCAGCAGCAGTTTTATTAAGCATCTAGTTAGTCGGCACGTGTGTGGCGGAGGAGTGCCGGGTAACGGAGTAACAGGGTGGGCAGCGCCCACCGCGATTCCAGAGGAAGTCGGGTCGCTAGGTGAGTTGTAAGTGATTGCTTTCCCTGCGGCGCCGTCTCCCGCCCACCGGCTCCACAGCCTGCTGCCGGCTGTCTTGTCTGAGAACTAGCAGCTGGCTAATCTACCTGGAACTAAGGCCAAAAGTGATCAGCCCTTTCGTTCTGGAAGGAGAGCTGATCTCATCTGTCACCTGAGCACAAAGCAATACTTAATCGGAATGAAAACTACCCACACGTGTGAAGCTTCTCGGAATTGTCAGCTATTACTGGCCTAAGACCTGGTAAATGTAGAGCTAGTGCTGGGCCCTGACCTGGAGATCTAACAGACTTGCCAGAAATGCCTGCGCCCAGACTGAGGAGACCTGGGGCTCAGGAAGACGCTCGGAAGGCCTGCCCTCTGTTCTGTGGAAACTGCAGGCACGGCCCCTCGATCACATTGTTTGCTCTTGGTAAAAGGAGTCAATGATATCTTTGTACTTCTCCAAAACCGTGAGCCGTTTCAGCTTCATTGTGGGACCTAAAAGAGAAATTGGAAGAAGTGAGTTAGGCCTCGGCTCTGAGAACGTGTGCGGTCAAGACTCGCACTGTGAGTCCCGTCACTCAGGAATTAAGCCAGACGGTCAGGACAGTCAGTAGCCAGCCTCCAAGACAGCGATGGCTGCTGGTATTCACGTGGCCTGTGTGTAGTCTCCTGCGTCATTCCTCTGGTTGTGGCCAGTGGAGGATAGAGGAAGGGTTGGTATGTCACTTCTGAGAATAGGTTATAAAAGACTGCAGTTTCTTTTATGTACGTAGGGAAGTGGGGGAGGCGACGTCTACCTTATCCTTGCCCTGCACCCATTTTTAGTCCTCAGTCCATTTATTCGTTGTCTCTTGAATGAATAAATTGTTGGAGCAATTAAAAAAAATAGACTAGGTTTCTGTCTTGGGCTTTCTCTTGGACCATTCTTCCTGGGCAAGCTGGCTGCCATGTGGTGAGGACACAGGCAGCCCGGGAGAGGCCCACTGGCCACACACCGGCCAGTAGCCAGCAAGGAGCCGAGGCCTGCCAACAGCCAGAGAAGTGAGTGTGGAGGGGACCCTCAGCTGCAAGTGACTGCACCCAGCTCACATGGACGTAATCGCACGATGCAGGCCAGAACCACCCAGCTAAGCTGCTCCTGAATTCCTGACCCACAGAAATGTGGATAATACGTGTTTATTGCTTTAGGCTGCTACATTCTGGGGGGTCATTTGTTACACAGCAGTGTATTCGATGACTAGTACACAGCATCTCTGCATTTGTGGGAAAGTTCATACAGTGTTGGACGTTATGCTTTGATGGTTGTGATGGGCGTAGGGGAGTCCAGGTTCTGGGGAGCCCCTGCCATGGTCTTTATGAGACGTCTTCCCATATTACTTTCCTTGACCTCGATTTCCCCCCTCTAAAGTAAGGCTGACGGAGCTCTGACTCGAGGTCCTGGGTGGCTTAAAATGCCTAACTCACTCTTGACTGTGTAACTGGAAACTTTCGGTGTTAAAGTCATTGTATTAACTACTTAAAGAGGGCATCTTCTGTCTGGTTGACCTTGCATTCAATGTGCTGGCAGCAGATGGCCAGATAAGCTCAGGGTCTCTTGACTGCAGCTCAGCATTGCTGTGGACAGTTGCATCTGGGTTCAGCCGTGGTGAGTTTGAGGGAATCACACTGGCATAACTGTTTCCACCTCCCCCATTCCATGAACACCCCACGAACATCTCTTGGCTACAGCCTAGAGTGGCTACAGCCTAGAGTGACCTCAGCCGAGGCTGCACTGGAGCCCTCTCCTGGTTCTGTGGGCAGTGGTCCAGGGCAGCCTCATCCCTTTACCTATCACACAAGCCGACTTTCCAGAACATGACAGTAGTCTCACCCCTAGAACCACATGACTCCAGCCTGAACACCAGCAGGGCCTTGGTGTTCGCCTGGTAGTTCCGTTGTAATTTTAGGAGAAAATGGTCCCATAGTCAAGGCCAAGTTAAATGCCATGTTCAGGTTAGAAAGTTCTAGGATATATCTTGTACATTCAACAGGCTCTTCATAACCACAAGCCAGGGCACTGAGCCATCACCCAGATTCCTGCCCTGACCTTGACCTTGCTGCTTCTGCTTCATAACGGGCACCTCCTAGGCACTGCCATGGCCTCTGCCTTCCCACACCGCCCTTCCAATAGTGAAGAGAAAACCTACCCAGCTCTCCACCCGAAATGGAGAAGTCTCTCTCGAGAATCACCCACTTCTGGATGTGGTAGGGCCGGGCCGCCGCGTTCATGTTGACCCTCCGGATCCCCTCTTCGATGGCCTGGTACACGGCCTCATCCTTCCTCCCCACGATCTCGGACACTGTGGTGGCTCTGCTGCCCACCCGCTGGCAGAACTCCACAGCTTGTTCGGTCAGATTATCAGTCGGGTCAGAGGTCTCTGGGTCCAGAGTGCACTGAAGAGCCAGAGATGAGATGAGGACCAAGCCTTACCCCACAAGACGTAAGCCCTGGTCCTGATCTTACTGCTGTTGGCAAGGGTGTGAATCATGTGAGCTCTGTTTCAAAGAGATGGTTCTAGAATGAGTAGCCACTACTGTGTTGAGCCTCCTGTTACTGTGGAAGGAGCAGTGGTCTCAGAATTAGAAGGCCTCGGTCAGTGATGTCATCATCTCTAAAGCAGGGACCCTAACTCCTGCCTGTCTGTAACCCGAGGCCCAAGTACCTGCCGAGAGCAAGGAGGGAGAGCAGCAGCGCTTTGTAAACTGGAAAGTGCAAGTAACACATAAAGGATCCTCACGGTGGCATGTGTGGGACGGAAGGAATTTCCACGTGGCACAGATGCTCCGACAGTGCAGGCAGCACGGACCTGAGTCATTTCAGAATGAAGCCATGAGATCTGCCTGTGCCCTGTGCTAAATGTGGCTTCTGCCAGCCAGACACACAGACCCCATCACTGGCTGTTACTTCTGAGCCGGAGCCCCCCACTCCAGACACACCTTCAAGGTGAGCAGCATGGACAGGAACTTTCTCTGGTCCCCGATCAGCATGGCGTTACTGATGATGGGCAGCTCCGTCTTCACGGCCTCCTCGATGGGCAAAGGGGGCACGTTCTCCCCACCAGCTGTGATGATTAATTCTGGGGAGGCAAGAATGTACTTCAGGTGCCCCAGCTGAATCACAACCCAGGCCTCGGCCACACCCCAGAAGCCTCAGGCACAGCAGGCAGCACAGCCGGAGATGCCCCCTCGCTGGGAGCCAGGAAGCAGTGCCAGACCCTCCGAAGCACCTCACACCTGCCGGGGGGGCTGGTGGCGGTCCCCCAAGGACAAATGCTCACCCAGGGTCCCCTCTCAGCTCATCATCCAAGACATCTCATCCATGCCCCTTCTGCCAGGCCCAGTTCCTGCCCCCGAATAGCCCGTGCCATTTTCCTTCCCTGCCGTTGCTTAATAACCACCATCCGTGGCACGCACAGCACTCACCACCATGCTAAGCACCTCACACAGAGTCATTCATTTAACTGTCACAATAAAACTATACTGAAGCAGATGCTGCTATTGTTTTTGCAGATGAGTAAACTGAGGCACAGAGATGTTCGGTAACTTGTCCAAGCTCACGTGCTAGTAAGTAGCAGAGCTAAGATTTAAAATCCAGTCCAGTTCCAGAGCCCATGTTGTCACCTGCCCTGCTAGGATGCCTCTCCCCTCGCTTGCACCCTTCCCGGGAAGGTCCCCCCTCCCCTTCTTTCCTTCCGTCCAACAGACTGCCAGGTGCTCAGTGCCCTGACCTATTTTCTGATAGTAATAATGGCTTCCTTCTAGGGTAGGTGGCAATGAATTCAATAAAATAAATTGCATGAATGCACAATTTTACTGATTTTACTGAGTACTCCTGTCCGTCAGTTCTAATTCAGCAAAGATGAGTTGGTCACATTCTGTGCGCAGGTCCTGTGCTGACATCGGGCACAGAATACAGCAAGGTTGGCCGTGGCTGCAAGAAGCCCACCGTGCAGTGGGGCAGTGAGACAGAGGGAGGCACAGGGGCTGCAGGGCCGGAGCAGGGAGGCGCCAGGCCCAGCTGCATGCTGAACATGAATGGGGGATGGCAGGCAGAGGCAGGTCGGGAGCCGAAGCTCACAAGCCTGAAGGGAGCTGCAGGTAGCAAGTGAGGCGGGCGCTGGAGAGGGAGTGGGCTGGATCTCGGAGGCCTCTCGTGCTGCCTGAGGAGCTGCGCTGGGAGGCGGAATGGAGTGACCGCAAAGCTCTGGGGCGCTCTGGCAGCTCCAGTGAAGAGTGGTCATTTAGGGGCAGGCCGGCTAGAGAGGAAGCCGTGACAGGTGTCTAGATGATCAGAGTTTGTCTAGGACAGCAGAAGTGAGGAGGAAAAGACAGACTGGAAATGTGGGAATACAACCACCCAGCCTCCCTCACATACTCATCACGGCCACCTCATTCCTGCCCTTTCTCCCCACTACCGCCCTCTGCATTCTTGCCAGCATCTTTTACCATTAGTAAATGATAAAAACCCTTAGCAAACTACAGCTGGAAAGAAACGTCTTTCACCTGTTAAAGAACATCTACAAAAATTTTACAGCAAACATACTTTAAACTTTTTTTTTTTTTAAGACAGAGTCTGGCTCTGTCACCAGGCTGGAGTGCAGTGGCGCAATCTCGGCTCAATGGCGCAATCTCGGCTCACTGCAACCTCAGCCTCCTGAGGTTTTTCCTGCCTCAGCCTCCCGAGTAGCTGGGACTACAGGTGTGCACCACCATGCCCAGCTAATTTTTGTATTTTTAGTAGAGACGGGATTTCACCACGCGGGCCAGGATGGTCTTGACCTCTTGACCTTGTGATCTGCTCGCCTCAACCTTCCAAAGTGCTGGGATTACAGGCATGAGCCACACGCCTGGCTAAAAATGATTTAATGATTATTTTTAATAAATAGAGACAGGATCTCACTATGTTGCCCAGGCTGGTCTCAAATTTCTGAGCTCAAGCCATCCTTAGCCTCCAGAGTGCTGGGATTGCAGGTATAAGCCGCTGTGCCCAGCCAAACATGCGTAGTGAATAAAATAATGCTTGTCTCCTGAGATCAGGAACAAAACAAGTTTGACCACTCCCACCACTTCTATTCAACACTGCCCTGGAAGTCCTAACCTGTGCAATACTACAAGAAAAAAATATATCATTTGTCATTATTTGCAGATGATATAGTTGTGTTTATAGAATATTCGAAAGAATATATACATTACTGAATTAAATATGTGGACTGATCAAGGTCGTTTGATACAAAGCCAATATGCAAAAAAGCAGTTGCATTTCTATATACCAATAGCAGGCCGGGCGCGGTGGCTCAAGCCTGTAATCCCAGCACTTTGGGAGGCCGAGGCGGGTGGATCACGAGGTCGAGAGATCGAGACCAACCATGGTCAACATGGTGAAACCCCGTCTCTACTAAAAATACAAAAGATTAGCTGGGCATAGTGGCGTGTGCCTGTAATCCCAGCTACTCAGGAGGCTGAGGCAGGAGAATTGCCTGAACCCAGGAGGCGGAGGTTGCGGTGAGCCGAGATCGCGCCATTGCACTCCAGCCTGGGTAACAAGAGCGAAACTCCGTATCAAAAAAAAAAAAAAAAAAAAAGAATTGTTTCTCTATATACCAATAGCAAACAGATAGACAAAAAAAATTTCACAGCAACGTCTGAGCTGAAAAAATTTTAGAAATGATATTATTTAAAATAGCATAAAAATTATTAGAATAAATACAAGGGCAGGCCACAGTAGCTCATGCCTGTAATTCCAGCACTTTGGGAGGCTGAGGCGGGAAGACCATGAGATCAGGAGTTCGAGACCAGTCTAACCAACATGGTGAAACCCCGTCTCTACTAAAAATGCAAAACTTCGCTGGGCATGGTGGCATGTGCCTGTAATCCCAGCTACTCAGGAGGCTGAGGCAGGAGAATCACTTGAACCTCAGGAAGAGGAGGTTGCAATGAGCTGAGATCACACCACTGCACTCCAGGAAGGGCGACAGAGACTCCATCACACACACACACACACGCACACACACGCACACACACACACGCACGAACTAAAATACAAGGAAAGACGTGCAAAAATCTCTAGCCTAACAAATATAGGCTGAATGCAGTGGCTCACACCTATAATCCTTGCACTTTAGGAAGCCGAGGTAAGAGGGTGGCTTGAGCTCAGAAGCTCAAGACCAGCCTGGGCAACATGGCAAGACCCCCTCTCTACAAAAATCGAAAATTAGCCAGGTGTAGGGGCTTGCACCTGGGGTCCCAGCTACGTGATCGGGATCATGCCACTGCACTCCAGCCTGGGCAACAACATGAGACCCTGTCTCAAAAATAAATAAATAAATAGCACATTATTGAGCGAAACTGAAAAAGACCTAAGTAAATGGAGAGAGAGATTTATCATCTTTGTGAATTGGAAGACCCAGTATATAAAGATGTATTTTCCTCACCAAATTGATCTACAGATTCAATGAAACCAAAAATCAAAATTCCAGCCAGTTTTTGAGGAAACATACAATGAAAAGTTCCCATGGAAATGAAAATGGCCAAGAATAGCCAACGTCGTCTTGAAGAAGACCAGGTCTCTGAGGACTTAACCGGATATCTAGCCCGGTCATAGAGCTACAGAAATTAAGACACTGGGTACTGGTGCAAGGATAAGCGAATAGAACAAGGGAACAGGGTACAGTCCACACAGAGACCTCTCACAGACAGTCACTTTGTCAAGGACACAGGTATCGCTGCAAGGCAAGGGGGAAGGGACCCTGTGTCAGTTGGATATGTATTTGGAGAAAAGCTATCTGGACCCTTACCTCTCATTACACTAGTTCTAAAAGGAGGGCCAGCTCTGGTTGAATGTGGTTTTCGGGCTGCTATCCTCCTGCCAGAATGTGGGTCCCCTCAGCTGCCGTTACAAAGAGGGACACCAGATGGTGCCCGAGGCACATCCAAGCAGCCACCTGTCGCTCCCGGGGTCTCCTGGGAGGGTCCCTGGCAGGGCTCACCAGCCTGCACATCCCAGGGCCCAAACGCCCCTCCCTGGGGCGGCCGAGCTTCCATGGCCACCAGCTGGGCCTGGGCACGGTCACACACTCCTCTGCGTGACGTCCACAAAGTGCTTTCCCCACTCGCTTAGCTTGTTCCGCCCACGAGGCCCTGGCGCGGGATTCCCTCGCGGGTGCCGCGGGCGCGACCCCCACTCAGGTGAAGTAGGTAGAATGTTCTTCCACAGAGGCATCCCCAGCTATTTCTGTCTCTGTGGGAAGTTTGTCTTATTTTAAATTTTCTCTCCAACGTGCATTCTATTCCCCATCATATCCGTGCCTGCATCTAAAAGTACACAATACTCACGCTCTTGGATCTCCTGGAAAGACTTGCCTTATTTCTCTAAAGGTCCCGTTTCCAGCTCCACCATTTACCAGCTGGGTGACCTTGGACAAGTTACTTAACCTCTCTGGGTGTCCTCGTTAGCAAGTTAGGGTTCGTAGAAGAGAGGAGTAAATAAAATGATGTCACTAACCGTGTGTGACACTTAATAAAGGCTCAAAAGTGGCCTTTATTGAAAGGCAGTGCTGGCTCTCGGCTGCTGCTATAAGCAGCAGTGGCAGTGGACTTCCTGCCCCCACCCCACTATAGCTGTCCGGGCACTAACCTTTTTGTTTTGGTTTGGTTTGGTTTGATTTTTGGAGACAGAGTTTAGCTCTGTCTCCCAGGCTGGAGTGCACAGCGAGGCGACCTCGGCTCACTGCAACTTCTACCTCCCAGATTCAAGCAATTCTCGTGCCTTAGCCTCCCGAATAGTTGGGATTACAGGAGCACACCACCATGCCCAAGTGATTTTTTGTGTGTTTTTGGCAGAGACGGGTTTTCCCCATGTTGCCCAGGCTGGTTTCGAGCTCCTGAGCTCAGGCAATCTGGCTGCCTGGGCCTCCCGAAGTGCTGGGATGACAGGCATGAGCCGCCGCGCCCAGCCTGGGGTGCTCACCTTTGAGGCGCCCAGTGATATAGAGGAAGCCGTCGGCATCCAGGCGGCCAGCGTCGCCCGTGCGCAGCCAGCCTTCCTCATCGATGGCTTCACATGTCTTGTCCTCCATGTTCAGGTAGCCCATGAAGACGGTGCGGCCCCACAGGCAGATCTCGCCAATGCCCTCTGCATCCTGGTTCACCAGCTTCACCCGACAGCCGGGCACCACCTTGCCTGAGCTGGTGAGGGAGGGGCCGGGAGACTGGTTAGAGGGAGGCTTCTCCTCCCAGCCCCCATGGGGGGTTCTTCACTGATGGCTAGAAGGTTTCCCCTCACAGGGCTTTTTGTATTTTTTTTTTCTTCTTTTTTTTGAGACAGAGTCTGGCTCTGTGGCCAGGTGCCAGGCTGGAGTGCAGTGGCTTGATCTCAGCTCACCGCAACCTCCGCCTCCTGGGTTCAAGCGATTCTCCTGCCTCAGCCTCAGCCTCTCGGGTAGCTGGGACTACAGGCACACACCACCATGCCCAGCTAATTTTTGTATTTTTAGTAGGGACAGGTTTTCACCACGTTGGCCAGGATGGTCTTGATCTCTTAACCTCGTGATTCGCCCTCCTCAGCCTCCCAAAGTGCTGGGATTACAGGCGTGAGCCACCGCGCCCGGCCAGGACTTTTGTATTTCGACAGGGGACTTAAGAGCTGAAAGGCAGAGTCAATTAAAGGGTTTTAGGGAATGAAGGAAGGAAGGAACGGAGGAAACGGTGACGGTAGAACTTGGAGCACAGGCTGGCAGGGAGGGCGGCTCTTGAAGCTCAGCAGCTGAACTGGTAAATCACTCCTCAGCACGGCCCATTAGGAGACTGGCCTGGTCCCCCTCCCACCGCAGCTGGCCCCTGGAACACTCTGGAGCACACCCCACCCCGGGACAGGGAGGGGCCGGAGGAAAGCTGCTCCACAGGTAGATCCCTGTTCGGAGGCCACCGGGGCTGTGCAGGCTGTTTTCAGCCACAGACATACACGACGCAGTGGCAGAGGCCACCCCCACTAGACTGGGGACGGTAAGCTGGGACGCGGCCCAAGGTGGCAGGGCTGGCTCTCGGGGGCTCCACAGCCCAGCGGCCAGGGCTCTGGGACCCCACTGGTGTGTAAAGAAGCGGGGGTCCCCAGGGCACTGAGCAGGAGGGCCAGCAAGGGCGCGCGGGCGTGCACGTGCGCGGCAGCCCCCGGCCTCACCTGTACAGCCGGTAGTTGTAGGGGCTGGACATGAAGTGGGGCCCTGAGGTCTCACTGAGGCCGTAGCCCGCGTACAGGCGCATGTTGAGGCCCAGGAAGAAGTGCTGTGTCTCTGCCGTCATGGGGGCCGCTCCATAGAAGCTCTTCTGACACTTGGCAAAGCCCAGTGCCTGGCGGACCTTGGCCAGCACCAGGTAATCTGCCAGTCTGGTGGTGAAGGGCTTCAGGTCGCTGGTGGGAGGAGGAGAATGGTTCACAGAAGAAATCACACACACGCACACACACACACCCCACACACACACATACACACAAACACACAGATACAAACACACACAACACAAAGACACAAACACACAGACACAAACACACACAAACACATATACACAGACGCACACACATACAAACACGAACACACATACACACAAACACACAAACACACAACACACACAAAGACACAAACACACAGACACAGACACAAACACACACAAACACATATACACAGACACACATACAGACACAGACACACACACACATAAACACAGACGCACACACAGACACACAAACCCCCACACACAAACACACAAACATACACACACACACACACAAACACAGATACAAACACACACAAACACAGACAGACACAAACACAAACATATACACAGACACACACACAGACACACATACAAACACGAACACACAGACACACATACAGACACAGACACACACATACAGATGCACACACATACACACACACCCCACACACAAACACAAACACACAAACATACACACGAACACACAGATACAAACACACACAAACACACACAAACACAGACACAGACACACACAGACACACAAACACATAAACACGAACACAGACACACACAGACACAAACACACAAACACAAACACACACAAACACATATACACAGACACACATACACAGACACACACACACACACAAACACAGACGCACACACAGACACACCCCCACACACAAACACACAAACATACACACAAACACACAAACACAGATACAAACACACACAAACACAGACAGACACAAACACAAACATATACACAGACACACACACAGACACACATACAAACACGAACACACAGACACACATACAGACACAGACACACATACACACAGATGCACACACATACACACACACCCCACACACAAACACAAACACACAAACATACACACAAACACACAGATACAAACACACACAAACACATAGACACAGACACACAGACACACAAACACACAGATACAAACACACACAACACAAAGACACAAACACACAGACACAAACACATACACAGACGCACACACATACAAACACGAACACACATACACACACACAAACACACACCCCCACACACACACATACACACAAACACACAGATACAAACACACACAACACAAAGACACAAACACACAGACACAAACACACACAAACACATATACACAGACGCACACACATACAAACACGAACACACATACACACAAACACACACACACACAAAGACACAAACACACAAACACAGACACAGACACAAACACACACAAACACATATACACAGACACACATACAGACACAGACACAAACACACACATAAACACAGACGCACACACAGACACACACCCCCACACACAAACACACAAACATACACACAAACACACACAAACACAGATACAAACACACACAAACACACACATAAACACAGACACACACACAGACACACACACAAACACACAAACATACACACAAACACACACAAACACAGATACAAACACACACAAACAGACAGACACAAACACAAACATATACACAGACACACACACAGACACACATACAAACACGAACACACAGACACACATACAGACAGACACACACATACACACAGACGCACACACATACACACACACCCCACACACAAACACAAACACACAAACATACACACAAACACACAGATACAAACACACACAAACACACACAAACACATAGACACAGACACACACAGACACACAAACACATAAACACGAACACACACACACAGACACAGACACAAACACACACACATACACACAGATGCACACACACACATACACACAAACACGAACACACACAGACACACACACACGGACACATACACACATAGACACATACAGACACATACAAAAACACAAAAACACAAACACACACAGACACATACACAGACACACACACATACACACAAAAACACAAACACACATAAACACAAACACACGCAGACACACACACACACACACACAAAGGTGGTATTCAGTAAGAACACACTGGCCCAGCCATTCCAGTTGTCTGTTCCAGTTGGTTTGAACGTTGAGCCCGCCTGTCAACACGCAGGCAGATGTCGGTGTGCAGGCACACGGCTGTGTGCAAACGTGTCTTAAACCAGGAAGTCAGGCTGATTCCGCTGTGTACAGGTGTACAGGCAACAACACAGAAGCGTGCCATTTTGCACACACAATACACATGCACAGACTTGAAGTCTATACTCGTGTAGACACAGGCACCAACGTGGGACCCCAGTGAAGCCCACAAATGCTTCGTTCATGCACGTTCACTTTTCGTGTCTGTGCAAATGAAGCTGTGGGTGCACAGGCGTGTGTGCGCATCGCATGACACATCCCATTTCACAGACACTTGGGGAATGGAAACTCCTAAACTGAGACCAAGCCAGATTTCTGTCACTGACGCTCCCAGAGCACTGCGTGGGAATCCAAAAAGCCACGGAAAGGCAGCAAGGGGGCGATTTCGGAGGGGTCACTGGGGATGCTGAAAAGGCTGGAAAGGCGAAGTCCTCACCTCTGTGGTCCCTTCTCCAGCCACCCACTGAGGTCAGGAGACCCCAGGAGACTGTGCCAGGAGCTGCTCCTGGGAGGTGAGTTTCACTTCAGAGAAACCAACTCAGTCCTCCCAGCCAGAATCCAAAGGTTGAGTGACTGTTCCCAGCAGGGCCTGAAGCCCGGTCACGGCCGGGGCCTCTGCACGCGTTCTCCAGAGCTGGCCGGACGCTGGCGCTGGGACGGGCACGGCCTATCAGACCCTCACCGTGTTCCGGGTTATGACCCAGCCCGCCGCCTCCCCAGGCCTCCTGCCCGTGGACCTCTGTACCTGCCAGCACAGGTGAGGTTCTGCTCCAAGGTCACCGACATGGCCCACAGCAGCATCTTGCGCCGGATGAAGCCAGACTGAGCCGCTGCCTCCTGGATGCGCTCCATGATCTTCTCCCACACCCGGGGCACCCCCATGTGCGACGTGGGCTCCACCTCCCGCAGCGTGTTTACCAGGCTCCCCTGTTCACACCGCAAGAGGCAGGCCTGCCAGGTCAGGGACAGCTGGGGACCAGGGGCCCCCTCTCGCCAGCCTGGCGTGCAGATGCCTTGCAGGAATGCCAGCAGCATACACTTGCTTGACGGGCACCCACGCACACAAGGTGTGGCACATACTGTTGGCTCAATGGCCTTCGCCTCCCTCTGCATGCGGAACCCTGGTAGCAGGCAGCTGTCAGGCGGCCAGTGCCTCCGAAGGACCCCAGTCTCGTCCCAGCCCTGAGCGTGGTGACTCTCCACTAGTCTAACTCAGACACAAAATCCCATTCCCCTCCGCAGCGTTCAGTTTGAGAACAGACAGGTGACACTTTGGGCCACTGAGACGCAGGCGGAGGGAACATTGCTGGGGCGTTTCTGGGAAAGTTTTCCTCACAGTTAAAATAAGGGTCCCAAGAACAGGTGTCTCCTGTGAGGCTGGGATTCAGGGAAGGGCCGTAGCCAACCGGTGACACTCTGAGGACGCCTGTCCTTGACGGTGTCACAAGCCCCACGAACCACTCTGACTCGACTTTATGTCATGGCATCAGGCGCCCTTCTTGTTTGGTCATCGGAGTCGGGCTGTGTCCACTGAGTTCTGACTGATACGTGCACAGGCACGGCACACACACAAATGCACACGCGGGTCTCACGGACACACGTGGAGGTGTCCTGGCACACAGGCTTGGACAGATACACGGTAGAGGCAGACTGACCTTCAGGGCGTCGGGTTCGGCAAAGCAGACCTGGGCCCCCCACTGGATGCCCGTCCACAGGTCGTAGATCTGGGCAGCAATGTGGCTGAGGGGCAGGTAGCTGACCACTACCTCCTGCTGCACTTCCGCTGGCTGGATGTCGCCGGCCTGGCTCCCGTACCGCGCCGTCCACGTGATCTGGAAGACAGGCAGATGGGTCCCAGCAGCATCCACAAGCCGGCCCCGGCAGTGCTCACCACTGTGGCCACCCTGGGGGCCAGCCCCCGCGTGGTGCCCCCTGTGGCATCTCTGCAGGCTCTGAAAACCCCAGGACAGGCCTCCCCTCCCCGCTGCGAGGCTCAGTCTGGGCCGCAGATTGAAGGGTTGTTCTGTCCCAGCTCCCAGACAGAGCAGAGGGGTCCGAGGAGCTTCCCCAGGGGCTACTGGGCAGAGCCGTGGCCCAGATTCCCCCACTATCCAACCCACCCAGCAGCTGTCTTACATTGTCCTGACTCAGCATCACACCCTTGGGGTTTCCAGTGGTGCCTGACGTGTAGACCAGCACACAGCACTGGTTGGGCTGCTGGGCGTCGATGATGGCGTCCAGGGCTTCCTCAGGCACTTCATTCCCCAGCTCCATGAATTCCTCCATCTGCAGCCAGGTGCAGGGAGCAGGCAGGCTAGGTCAGCTGAGTGGGCCCAGCAGGCCCCGCCGGGCGCCCGGGGCCCCACTGTCCGTACCGTGTACACGTGGCTCATCTTGTTTGGAGGAGATTCTTTGTATATCACGACTGCCTTTAGATGCGGCAACTGTTTCCAGATCTGCATGGACAGGACAAAGAAATTGGGTTTCAGCAAGAGAAATGTCACCTCCTGAAAAGCACCCCATGTCCCTGTGTGAGTCTGCTTGGCAAAGGTCTCTGGGTGCCCCATCTCTGGCCTTTGATCCTGGCAGGACAACTACCACCCTTCACTTGCCGTTTCCCTCCTGAGAACTTGGGATAAAGTAGGGGAGAGCCAGGGGACTGGGGATGGCTCATTCTTTTGCACTGGAGGAAAACCATCAAACGAGCTGGGACTCGGCTGAACAACCCATGATCCAGCCACACAATGCAGCAGGTCTAGAGGGAGAGGAGAGGGCAGAGGACAGAGAGAGAGAGAGAGAGAGAGAGTTCTATGCGCAGAGAGTGGGTGGCTTCTAGGATATATTATTAAGTTGAAAAAGAAACGTGTGCGCTATGCATATATGTAAAAAAAGAGGTGCGACGCGAATCTATGTATGCACACATGTATTTACTTATATTTACAAAAAGAGCCTGGGTCAGGAGCTCACACCTGTAACCCCAGCACTTTGGGAGGCCAAGGCGGGCAGATCATTTGAGGTCAGGAGTTCAAGACCAGCCTGGTCAACATGGTGAAACCCCGTACTACTAAAACTACAGAAATTAGTCAGATGTGGTGGCGGGTGCCTATAATCCCAGCTACTCAGGAGAATCATTGAGGCATGAGAATCACTTCAACCTGGGGGGCGGAGGTTGCAGTGAGCTGAGATAGTGCCTCTGCTCTCCAGTCTGGGTGACAGAGAGAGGCTCTGTCTCAAAAAAAAAAAAAAAAAAGACCCTGGAAGTTTAAACCAAAACCTGAGTGACTTGCCTATGTATAGGCAGAGGGGGAATAAAGGTAAGAAGAAGGGGGGAAAGCAAAAATGCTTTGCGTATAATCTTACACCATTTTGATTTTGGAATCATGTAAATGTTTTAACCATTTGAAAAATAAAGTTAGGCCGGGCGCGGTGGCTCACGCCTGTCATCCCAGCACTTTGGGAGGCCGAGGCGGGTGGATCACGAGGTCGAGAGATCGAGACCATCCTGGTCAACATGGTGAAACCCCGTCTCTACTAAAAATACAAAAAATCAGCTGGGCATGGTGGTGCGTGCCTGTAATCCCAGCTACTCAGGAGGCTGAGGCAGGAGAATTGCCTGAACCCAGGAGGCGGAGGTTGCAGTGAGCCGAGATCGCGCCATTGCACTCCAGCCTGGGTAACAAGAGCGAAACTCCGTCTCAAAAAAAAAAAAAAATTAATATAAAGACACAGATAGGTTAAAAGTAAAAGAATGCAAAAATATATACGTGCAAACATTAATTGTCAGAAACTTGGAGTGACTATATTAATTTGAGGCAATGTAGTTTTGAAACAAGAATTATTACCAGGGATAAAGAGGAACATTTCTTAATGATAAAGGATTACACAGTAATCTAAATATAATAATATGATAATCTAAACACGCATATGCTTAATAACAGAACTCCAAAATGTATAAAGCAAAACCTGGTAGAACCCGAAGGAAACGTAGATGAGGCTACAATAGTAACCGGAGGTTCTCACACTCCCTTTGCTAGAGTTTCATAGAGCAAGGAGACAGAAAATCAACAGGGATACAGAAGGCAACGTTAAAACACTACCGACTAACTTGATGTAATCAACATTTATAGAACATTCTGACCAACGACTGCAGAGTACACGTTCTTTCAAATATCCATGCATTCACCAAAAGTGGTCATTATTCTGTCTCACCGACTCTGTACAGAGTGTCTCAGGCACCAAATAGCCTCAGGTAATGAGGAAAAGTTCTCTCTTTGGAGAATTCCAGCCGATGAATTCGAAAATCCACATTTTGCCACCTCTAAGAAAATAATGAATTCAGGCGAACATCACCAAGGGATGCTAAAACCATTAGGAGAAAGGTTGATGGGGAATTTCCCAGTGGAAGAAGAGAAGGTGGTCACCACAATCTGAAGCCCAGCATCACCGAGAGTAGTACCACCTGCCATCACGTGCCTCTTGGGACAGTGCACTGTGAAGGGCACGGTATCACCTATGAGGTGTTCTTGCCAAAAAGTTCAATCTGAAATGCATCAAGCATTTAGATCTAACAGGGAATACAGAAGTTAGAGGAACAAGTTAATCGACAGCAGAAGGTGGCGTCGGACAACCACAGAACGCGAGACCTTGTACAAGACGACTCACCTACTTCCTGCAGTGTCTACGGCAGAACTTCTCACGGGTGATGTGTGTCAGGATCACCACAGGGCTCGTGAAATGTGAGTGCTGGGCCCAACACCGTAAGTTTACGACTCAGTAAGACCGGGGTGAGGCCTGAGAATTTGCATTTCTAAGTTCCCAGGTGATGCGAATTTGGGGACCACACTGGTCAATGGCAGGGCTTTGTTCTGAACTAGAAGACACTTAAGAGACACCACCACAGGCAACACGCAGGTCTGGTTTAGATCCTCATTCAAACAAACCAACGATACGATGACATCGTGGGTGGAGAGACAGAAAGTAGAATGAGGGCTGCCAGGAGGGAAGAGGGAGTTTTTTTTTTTGTTTGAAAACTTTTATAATACAAATTTTATTTCATTTTATTTTATTTATTTATTTTTTTGAGACAGAGTTTTGCTCTTGTTACCCAGGCTGGAGTGCAATGGCGCGATCTCGGCTCACCGCAACCTCCGCCTCCTGGGTTCAGGCAATTCTCCTGCCTCAGCCTCCTGAGTAGCTGGGATTACAGGCACGTGCCACCACACCCAGCTAATTTTTGTATTTTTTAGTAGAGGCAGGGTTTCACCATGTTGACCAGGATGGTCTCGATCTCTCGACCTCGTGATCCACCTGCCTCGGCCTCCCAAAGTGCTAGGATTACAGGCTTGGGCCACCACGCCCGGTCTCACAAATTTTATTTTAAGCCAGATGTATTAGTCTGTTCTCACACTGCTATAAAGATATTGCAGTAACTTGGTAATTTATAAAGGAAAGAGGTTTAATTGACTTGCAGTTCGGCGTGGCTGGGGAGGCCTCAGGAAACTTACAATCATGGCATAAGGGGAAGCAGGCACGTCTTACATGGTGGCAGGAGAGAGGGTGAGTGTGTGTCAGTGCAGGAAAATCTGCCGTTTATAAAACCACCAGATCTCGTGAGAATTAGCTCACTATCATGAGAACAGCATAGAGGAAACCATCCCCATAACCCAATCACTACCACCAGGTCTCTCCCTGAACACCTGGGGATTACAATTCAAGATGAGATTCTTATGGGGACACAAAGCCTAACCATTACCAGGCATGATGTCACATGCCTGTAATTCCAGCATGTTGGATTGCTTGAACCCAGGAATTTGAGACCAGCCTGGGCAACATAGTGAGACCTTGTCTCTCTAAGGAAAAAATACAAAAGTTAGCTAGGCATGGGGCTGCAAGCACCTAAAGTCCCAGCTACTCAGGAGGCTGAAGTGGGAGGACTGCTTGAGCCCAGGAGGTCGAGGCTGCAGTGAGCCATGATCACACTACCGTACTCCAGCCTGGGTGCCAAAGTGAGACCTTGTCTCAAAAATTTAAAAAACCGACCCAGAGCTACATGAGCAAGTGGAATCTTACATGTGGCCAACTTCCTGGCTCGCTTCAAGGAACAGGTGGGCTGCAGGGAGGGGCCCACCGTAGAGACCAGGAGAATCCTGCCTCAGCTCCCAGATGAAGATGGGGATCACCGTGACAAAGAAGATGAACAGCCTCAAGTGGTGGTTTTGAAAAAGGAAGACCCACCGGGCGCGGTGGTTCATGCCTGTAATCCCAGCACTTTGGGAGGCCGAGGCGGGCGGATCACGAGGTCAAGAGATCGAGACCATCCTGGTCAACACGGTGAAACCCCGTCTCTACTAAAAACACAAAAAATTAGCTGGGCGTGGTGGCGCGTGCCTGTCATCCCAGCTACTCAGGAGGCTGAGGCAGGAGAATTGCCTGAACCCAGGAGGCGGAGGTTGCGGTGAGCCGAGATCGCGCCATTGCACTCCAGCCTGGGTAACAGGAGCGAAACTCCGTCTCCAAAAAAAGAAAGAAAAGAAAGAAAGAAAGAGAGAGAGAAAGAAAGGAAGAATTTCAGAAGCTTGGGCTGTGTGTCAGGTGGAGCACGAGCCACAGCCCCGCCAAGCCAGCGCGGCTTCCACAGGCCGAGGGTTGAAACCCTAAGGTTGATGATCCGTTCCCGACCCAGACGCTGTGGGGGCTGGAGACCTCCCTCAGCCCCCTCTCGGTGACTCTGGCCTCCAAGGGTTGCCAGGAGCTGCCACAGCTACCTAGTTCCTTCTCGTCCTGGTGGGAGGAGGAGGGGCACGCTCTGCCCCAGGGTATTCAGGGTGTGGCTGATTTAGGGTATTCAGAGCAGGCTCTGGCACTGTGTAAGCTCTCCAGAAATGGTGCTTTGCAGAGAGATTGCGGCCCCTTGATTTCTCTCACAAATGGTTCTCACGGCTCCCTCTTAAGAACCCGCAGCAGTCACTCTACTACCGCCTGCAAGGGATGGGACCTTAGTAAGTCATAGTTCACCTCTCCGGCCCTTGGTTTTCTGGCGGGTAAAATGGGTGAGGAGACCCATCTCCGCAGGGCGCTCAGTGGCGCCAGCGTGGCATGAACCACATCTAGCCGCTGCTGTGGCCACTGGCACCTTCCTTTCCCACGCTGGTCTGTTTCTTCACGTGTGAAATGGACAGAGGGGAGATTGGCAGGGGCGGCTTTTCCAGTCCGTCCGGGTTCTGAAAGTTCCCTACGTCTTAGAGCCCCTTTCTCTCTTGTCTTACAAGTGAAGACTGTAACGATGTCCCCCAAAAAGAGATATGCCAAAGTCATAACCCCCAGTACCTCGGAATGTGACCTTATTTGGCGACAAGTGTTTACGGAGGCAATGAAGTTAAAACAAAGTCATTAAGGTGGGCTGGATCTGATATTCCTGGTGTTCTTATAGAAACGGGAAATTTGGGCACAGAGACAAGACCGCGACGTGAAGACACCAGGAGAACACCAGGTGAAGATGAAGGCAGAGGTCTGGGCCATGCGTCTACCAGCCAAGAAACACAAAGATGGCCAGGAAGCCCCGGAAGCCACCCAGTCCCAGCAGCCGTGGCCCGTGAACACGGGTGTCCGCCAAGAGCCAGACGCTGGTCAAAGCGTCACGCTCATACCAGCCCTTTGAGGTGACCTCTGCGGCTGCCACCATCCTCCACAAGGCCACACTGCATTTGAGCCCTGGCAGGTCCAGCCCAGGGGTGTGTGCTCACCCACTTCTCTACACCTCCTCTGGGTTTAAACCCGCTCAGAGGCCTCGGTGCGTCTGGCAGGGCAGCTCTGAGGTCTTCCCGGGGCTGCATTTGATCTTGCTGTGAGCCGGAAGTTCTTGGGCTGGCTGCCCACGGCCTCACCTGAGGCTATGTTAAAATGCACTCTGATCTGGGGCTCCCCTCCATGAGGTTCTGCCTCAAGGGTCTGGGCTTCAGTCTGGGCCTCCCCCAAGGAGGAGCTGCCCTGCTGGGAACCCCTGCCCCGCCTGCTTTTCTCTTTCAGTCTTTGGGAGACTTCAGTAGAAATGAGGGTAGCGCCCGCTGTGACTCCTCTGGGGATCCAGATCCCACAGTCACGGGTGGGATGGGGAGGCTGTGGCCTAGGTGACATCTCCACAATCAGAGGCAGGCCAAGTCCATCTCTCAGGCCTCCTTTGGGGTGCAGGGATCCCCTGAGTGCTTGAAGGCTGTTGGGTTCGGCTGGGACACAGAGGTGTTCCCAGGCCACCACACCCCAGTATGGTGAATGCGGGGACAGAGCCAGGTAGGGGTGGGCCTCAGATCAGGAGGCATCGTCAATGCGCCAGAAAAGACCCTGCTGGATCTAGAGGCGCCCCGAGCTCCTGCTCTGCCCCCACCGTGTCTGACTCGTGTCAACCTCACGCTGTAGCAGCCCTCACCGCCTGCACCGTCCCGTCCTCACCTAGACCCGAGCGCTCAAGGTGTCAGAGCTGTAAGCCACTCACCTGCTCTTAATCCTTCCACCGGCGGAGGACCCCGACCCCACAGCTCCTGCGCCCCCTTAGGGGGAGACCCCGCCCCAAAGAGAAAGCCATGGGAGGCAGTGGGCTGGACAGGAGCCCTACCCCAGGCCCCGTCACCACTTCCGGGGAACATCCCGCAGGCTCCATTTCCTTGCCTGTCAAATGGGTGGGTAGCCGCTGCCCTGCCTTGCTTGCTGTGTGTGCACTGGAGGGTTCCTGCTGAGGATGAGGGGAGCCTCTGGGTGGAGGGTGGGAAGGTCCCGTGTGAGTTGGAGTGGAGGTGCATGGAGACGCCCAGCCGCTGCCCCTATGCCCGTTGCCCCTATGCCCGCTGCCCCTTCCCCAAACCTTCAGGATCTTTTCCAGCTGCTTCTGCGTGTCCACCACAATGACGTTGGCGCGGCAGTCATGGGCGATGTACTGGCAGGCCTCGGGGGAGCTGGTGGTGTAGATGCCAGTGACGATGCCACTGTAGGAGACCCAGGAGGATTCGCCTTGGGGCAGGTGCAGAGGGGCCACCTCCTTCCCCCACCCCCACGTCTGTAGCCCCCAGACCCAGAGAGCTACCCCAGCATGGCAGGAGGGGCTCCCAAGGCACCTCAGCACCACGGTCCCCACAGAGGGGGTGCCAGACGCAGGTTCACCAGAAGCCCCAGGGAGGAGGCAGGATGGTGGGGAGTGGGTGGGGGCTACTAGAAAGAGGTAAGGACCCTCTCCTACCCTCTGCCCATTGCCAGCCCACTGGAGACCCTCCCCTGCTCCCGCCACTCACCCTGCGAATACTGTGCCCACTGCCGAGAAGAACCAGTCCGGGGAGTTGAAGCCGAGGATGGCCACGCTGTGGGCCCGCTCCAGGCCGAGCTCCAGGCCAAAGGCAGACAGGCCAGGTCAGCCGGGCAGGGCCTGGGGCCCTCACCCAGGCTGCAGGGGACCCTCCCAGCATCCACTCAGTCAGAGAATCCCCTTGGAGCAGGAGGGGTTGGCCACTCCACAGCCCTCGCTGCCCCCCCCAGGGCCCTCCCGGGGAGTCCAGCCCCCTCTTCCGCCTAGCGCACTGGGCTTCCAGCCTGGCCTGAATGTGATCCCGAATGAACAGCAAGAATCGAGTGCTTGGCGCATGGTAGGGACTCAGGAAATAGAAGCTCAGTATGGGGCCCAGCGTGCGGTATCAGCTCTGTGCTCGGTGGTGGCTTTTTTTTTTTTTTTTTTTTTTTTTTTTTTTTTTTTGAGACGGAGTCTCACTTTGTTGCCCAGGCTGGAGTGCAGTGGCACGATCTCGGCTCACTGCAACCTCCACCTCCCGGGTTCAAGCGATTCTCCTGCCTCAGCCTCCCAAGTAGCTGGGATTACAGGCACTTGCCATCACACCTGGCTAATTTTTGTATTTTTAGTAGAGACGGGATTTCTCCATGTTGGCCAGGATGATCACTCCTGACCTCGTGATCCGCCCAGCTTGGCCTCCCAAAGTGCTGGCATTACAGGCGTGAGCCACCGCGCCTGGCCCAATTTTTCTATTTTTAGCAGAGACGGGATTTCACCATGCTGGCGAGGCTGGTCTCGAGCTCCTGACCTTCCGTCATCTACCCACCTCGGCCTCCCAAAGGGCTGGGATTACAGGGGTGACGGTGGCTTTTACAGTTATTGTTCCTAAGGGCCTTGCCCAGTGGGCAGTTGGGGAGGAGGCCTGTGAGGCCCAGAGCTGGCAGGCACATCGGGGCCGGGGAAGGGACTTGCCACAGCGACCCCCTTACCTTCAGGAAGCCCTTGGCGGCTCTGCGGGAGAGCAGGTAGTACTGGGAGTAGGAGATGTGCTCCCACTTGTCCTGGCGCTTGAAGCCCAGAGCGCGGAGGTCCCCGTACTTGTCCAGGGCCTCATAGAACATCCGATGCACGGTGTAGGGAGGTTGTGCGCAGCCGGGGTCTATGCGGAGGCGCACCTGCCCATCAGCCCGAGTCGTCCACAGCGCCTCCTCTGTGGGGTGGGGGAGGCCACAGCTTGGATCATGCCCACCTGGGGTTGTCCCCAGGGGACCCTGGTCCTGCCTGGGGCAGAACTCGAAGCCCTTCTGGTGCCGACAGTGCCTTGGGTACTGGGCCTTGAGGCTGGCAGGCAACGGTAGACTGGGGCAGGCTGGGAGACTGCCTGGAGGAGGAGGTCTGACTCAGCCTTGAAGGATGAGCGAAGTTTAGGGCTGCAGCAAGGAAGAGGAGAGGAAATAGCTGGAGGACGGGTGGGGGTCCTAGAAACCCTGTTCCTTCTTTTATCCCAGCTGGAATTTGCCTCCCAAGGTTGGGCAGTGAGCTCAGTCCGATCTCCAGGTGCCTTCAGGGTGTCTGGCTGTCCCTGCCCCCTGCGAATGGGTTGGGGACAGATCTAACTAGAGAGAAGGTGAAGGTGCCAAAGAGAACGACCCTCCCGAGGGTCTGGAGGAGCCTGCAAACCACCAGCCCTGCTCTCCAGCCTGAAAGGTCTCCCGACCTCAGGAAATCACAGCAGTCCTAGCTCAGCCTCCCTCCCAAACGAGGTGCCTCACTTAGTGTTCGCAGCATGGGTTTGGAGAGAGGTTCAGTCATTCACCCAAGGTCACACTCGAAGGGAGTGCAGGGTCAGGATTCGAACTCGGGTGTACCTGGTGCCGCAGCTCACACTCAGGACATTGGCCGGGGTGCCGCCCGCCTTTGAGAGTCAGAGGCTTACTCTGTGTGTGGTGGGTGGGGACCGAGGTTGACCACTTAGTATGCAAGACTTGGGACAAGCCACTGAACCACTGAGTCAGTTTCAGGAGAAAGATGAGGACTCAGTTCTCGGGACAGGAGGATTAAAAGGGTGTATACAGAGGAGCTTTGGCCTGTGGCTGGTGCTCCGTGGATGCCCGTTTTCCTTCTTCCTCTCTTTTCCAAGTTTGCAAAGGAAGCTTGGATGGGTTGTCTGGACCCTTGGGCCCCACGGGACCTCCGTTCCTTGGGGCGAGGGCGGCGGTGGGAAGGGAGGGGCTGTGCCGCCACCTGCTGGCCAGACGCACCTGGCCCAGTGTCCTGTCACTTGGTCCTTCCCTGAGGAAGACAGATGGACAGATGGACCAGAGGAGCTTGTTCCTCCTCTTTGACACGCTCAGGTTGCATGCAGACTCTGAGATTGGCAGAAAGAGGCAAAGATCTGGGGGCTGGGACAGGAGAGCCCATTCCTCCTCCTGCGGAGGGCGGAAGTGGGGTTACATGGCAGCCTGCAGGAAATGCAAGTGGGGCAGGAGAGGGTGCCAGAGAGAAGATCCGCCCGGGATGGACGCCCTTGCCACCGGCCATGCTGGGGCCCGAGCCCTTGGGTAGTGGCGTGAGTCAAGGGCCACTGAACGCCATCCACTCACTCCTCAGACCTCTGCAAGCCCTGCCCCGTCTCCCGAGATGCCAGCCTGGCAGACCCTGCTCATCTGCCTCTTCAGAGCCTTAACCGCTGCATTTTGCTAAAAGTCCATGCCCAGAGCAGAAAGTCAGGTCCGAATGGGTTCAGAAACCTCAGCTCTGCCAGTGCCTGCGGCGTGACTGACAAACCATTCTCTCAGCTACATCTTCGTCACCTGCAAATGCAAGAGGTTGGCAAGGACATGGGGACGCGGAAGCCCACATACAGTGCTGGTGGGAGCGAGACGGTACCATGTTGGAGAACAGGTTAGCAGTTTCTGCAAGAGTTAAACATAAATTTACAGTACGACCCAGCAACTCCACTCTTAGGTATCTACCCAAGAGATATGAAAGCACATGTCCCCGTGAAGACTTACACACAGATGTTCTTCGCAGGCTTATGAGTCAAAAAATTGAAACAGCCCAAATGCCCACTGACTGGTCATAGAGTAGAATTATCTGCTCTGAAAAAAGCAAAGTGGCCCGGTGCGGTGGTTCACACCTGTCAACAGCACTTTGGGAGGTTGAGGCGGGCGGATCATTTGCGTCCAGGAGTTCGAGACCAGCTTGGGCAACCCCATTTCTATGAAAAATTAAAAAATTAGCCAGGCATGGTGGTAGGTACCTGTATTCCCAGCTACTTAGGAAGCAGAGGTGGGAGGATCGTTTGAGTCTGGCAGGTCAAGGCTGCAGTGAGCCAGGATCGCACCACTGCACTCCAGCCTGGACAACAGAGTGAGACGCTTCCTCAAAAATAAAAAATAAGTAAATCAGGCTGGGCGCAGTGGCTCACACCTATAATCCCAGCACTTTGGGAGGCCGAGGCCAGTGGATCAGCTGAAGTCAGTAGCTCAAGATCAGCTGGCTGGGCGCGGTGGCTCACGCCTGTAATCTCAGCACTTTCTGCCTGAACCCAGGAGGCGGAGGTTGCGGTGAGCCGAGATCAAGCCATTGTACTCCATCCAGCCTGGGTAACAAGAGCGAAACTCCGTCCCAAAAAAAAAAAAAAAAAAAATCAGCCTGATCAACAAGGTGAAACCTCGTCTCAACTAAAAATGCAAACAAATTAACTGGGCGTGGTGGTAGGCGCCTGTAGTCCCAGCTACTCGGGAGGCTGAGACAGGAGAATTGCTTTAATCCTGGAGGTGGAGGTTGCAGGGAGCCGAGATTGCACCACTGCATTCCAGCCTGCGCAATGGAGCAAAACTTGTCTCTAAATAAATAAATAAATAAATAAATAAATAAATCAAATTAAACAATAAATAAAAAATATATACAAAGGAATAAAGTACAGATAGAGGCTGCAACACAGATGAAACTCAAAAACGTGTTCAGTGAAAGAAGCAGTGCAAAAGGCCACCAGGAAAGGCAGAAAAAATCCAAAGCAGATTCGCAGCTGTCCCGCGCTGGAGGTGGGAGTGGGGACTGATGGTGGAACATGCACAGAGATCTTGTTGGGGTGACAGAAATGTCCCCACAGTGGAACGTAGGGATGTTTTGCAACTCTACATTTGCTAAAGGTAATCAAATTGTGCACTTAAAATGTGTAAATTTGATGGCATATAAATTATAGCTCAATAAAGCTACTTAAAAAAACAGAGAGAGGGCCGGGCATGGTGGCTCATGCCTGTAATCCTAGCGCTTTGGGAGGCTGAAGCAGGTGGATCCCTTGAGGCCAGGAGTTAGACTAGCCTGAGCAATATGGTGAAACCCTGCCTCTACTAAAAATACAAAAATTTGCCGGGTGTGGTGGCCCACGCCTGCAACCCCAGCTACCTGGGAAGCTGAGGCATGAGAATTGCTTGAACCTGGGAGGTGGAGGTTGCAGTGAGCTGAGATCGCACCATTGCACTCAGCCTGGGCAATAGAGCTAGATTCTGTCTTTAAAAAAAAAGGGGGGAGGCCGGGCGCGGGGGCTCAAGCCTGTAATCCCAGCACCTTGGGAGGCCGAGGCGGGTGGATCACGAGGTCGAGAGATCGAGACCATCCTGGTCAACATGGTGAAACCTCGTCTCTACTAAAAATACCAAAAAAAAAAAAAAAAAAAAAAAAACTAGCTGGGCATGGTGGCGCGTGCCTGTAATCCCAGCTACTCAGGAGGCTGAGGCAGGAGAATTGCCTGAACCCAGGAGGCGGAGGTTGCGGTGAGCCGAGATCGCGCCATTGCACTCCAGCCTGGGTAACAAGAGCGAAACACTGTCTCAAAAAAAAAAAAAAAAGTTGGGGGGAATGTTGACCCCACAAAGTGGTGCAAGGATCCTGTGCGATGGCCTGCAGAGCGCGCCCAGGGCCTGGCATCCAGTTGCTGCTCAGTGGCTATTAGTTCTCTTCCCTCTCCTGGCACAGAGTCCTTCTAGGCCTGGCCCAGAGAAAAGGTGACTTACTCCCACGGGCACTCCTAGAAGCTCACGCTCCTCTGTATTCACCTGTTCACCCAGGTTGCCAAGAAGAGCAGAGGCGAGTCTTGTGATCTCCAAGCCAAACATTTTAACTTGAACATTTATAATCTCTCTCTTTTTTTTTTTGACATGGAGTCTCACTCACTCTATGGCCCAGGCTGGAGTGCAGTGGTGCGATCTCAGCTCACTGCAACCTCTGCCTCTTGGGTTCAAGTGATTCTCCTGCCTCAGCCTCCGGAGTAGCTGGGACTACTGGCATGCACTACTATGCCTAGCTAATTTTTTTTTTTTTTTGGTAGAGACAGGGTTTCACTGTGTTGACCAGGCTGGTCTCGAACGCCTGGCCTCAAGTGATTGGCCCGCCTTGGCTTCCTAAAGTCCTGGGATTACAGGTGTGAGCCACCGTGCCTAGCTACTATAAACTCTTTTTTGGTTTTTGAGACTTAAGTCCTGCTCTGTCGCCCAGGTTGGAGTGCAGTGCCACTATCTCGGCTCACTGCAAGATCTGCCACCTAGGTTCAAGTGATTGTCCTGCCTCAGCCTCCCGACTAGCTGGGATTACAAGCGTGTGTCAGCATGCCTGGCTAATTTTTGTATTTTGTAGTAGAGATGGGATTTCACCATGTCAGCCAGGTTGGTCCCAAACTCATGACCTCAAATGATCTGCCGGCCTCAGCCTTCCAAAGTGCTGGGATTACAGGAATAAGCCGCGGGGCCTGGCCTATAATGTCTTTTTAATGCCAAAAACATGCATACTTGTTCCAAGAAATACAGAACTAAATTTAGCAGTCTGTGATAGAAAAAGTGATAGGCCCTCTTTCTACAAATATACGTACAAGGACTTAAGTTTTATTTTGCTATTGCAATTGCTTTTTTATGAAAAAAGAAAAAAAAAAGGTGGCGGGGGAGAGATCATATTACTAATGTATTAATCATAGGTTGGAAACCCAAAATGCTCATGGGACCATGTGGGTAGTGTATCAGCATCATAGTAAAAAATGTATAGTAATACATAATAAATGAATGAAGTGGCCCAGGACTTGCAGGTGAAACCCAGAGGCATTTCCTTTTCCCTCTTAGAGACACACGGCCCTTGGATTCCAGCTTTTGTTCTCTGCTTTGGATAGAGACACTGGAACAGTGACATATTTTCTCTTCTCTTTTCCTTTTTTTC